GCCGCGCTCACGCCAGCGGACCATCGGTGTTTTTGGCTTCGCCACCGTCCAAAGCGTGCGCAATGCGCTCGCCGACATCAAGCGAGCACGCCTGTCCGACGAGCGGCTTGCTGTGCGGACGCCTTCTTGTGGCTCTCATCGAGAGCGCTTTGTGTCCCGACGGGGTGAGAGAAGATGTGTCGTGTCACCCTGTACGTCATATCAGTCTTGATAACAAGCACGGTCGACAGGAAGAGGGCCGTACCGCGTACGGCAAGAAGAGCTCGATGGGGAGCGAGAACCGTCAGAGGAGCTTCAGGGGTAACCTGAAAGTCCTCCGTGACGCGCTCAATCGCTCCCATCTCCCAAGCGGGTGGCTCTCGAAAATCGTAGATATCTTCCGGAAAGACTGCTCTTGCCGCAGAGCAGCCGATATGCAGACGGAGAGGCGCAGAAAGGCTACGAGTACTCAACGAGTTCCGCGACCTACGCAGTCAAACCTGGGGGGAACTGACCGCACCATGGCGGACTTCCGAAACCTCCGTGAGCACCTCTGACGGTTCTCGCTCCCCATCGAGCTCTTCTTGCCGTACGGCGGTCTTCCTGATGCGTGCCGGCACAGAGCTCTGTGCAAGCCGTCCAACGTGATCGTGACGAGTGTATCGCTTTGACGGATCGACCGTACTTGTTATCAAGACTGATGATATGACGTACACAGTGACACATCAGACGACACATGCTCTCCCACCCGCCGGGCCGCAAAACGCTCTCGACGAGAGCCACAAGAAGCCGTCCGCACAGCAAGCCGCTCGGTCGAACACGTCGTTGCTCGCTCGATGCCGGCGAGCGCATTGCGCACGAGGTAGACGGTGGCGTAGCTAACATCACTGACGAAGACCGTCCGCTGGCGTGAGCGGCGGCGATCGGTCCCTAACCTGCGGTCCTTCACCGCAATCGGTCCTTCGCGCTCGTCCCTAACCCAAATAAGCACGATTCTGAAGTTGGGCCCTCAGACCCCCCCCTCCGAAGCGCAAGCGCTTGGAGCAAGGGAGATGCCACGTATGGGTCCCAGACTAGCACCCCACCTCGCGGGCCGACGTTCTGGCCCAGCGAGGCTGCTGCGGAGCACTCGCTTCCCCCCTTTTTAGGAAAAGAAACGCGCGCCCTTCGCCCCTGCCCGCCCGCCCGGCTAAAGATGGAAGCCAAGGGAGAGAAAGTTGTCGTTGTGGCGAACATCGTCGACGAAGCGCCTTCGAAGCTCGCGGTTGCGGGCAGCCCCGAGCTTGCCGCGCTCAACAACGGTCTCACAAACGAGGCGAACGCGCTCAAGGGAGCGGCGACGCTTCTCTTTTGCCTTTCGCTCTTCCAGGTCTTCACCCTGCACGGTGCGCGGGCGCGGGGGGGGGGCTGTACTGCGCACGGGCCATCTCGGCCTCGTACTGGCGCACGACCCCATGACGCGCTTGGCCGCCACCAGTGTTGCGCACGTTCTGGCGGGCCTGCGGGGCCGGAGGCCTCCTCTCCGCCCGTCTCTAGGCTTCCTCGGCCTGGTCGCGTCTGCGCTCGTGCTGCTCTACTCCGAGCGGTGGGCACTCCCCCTGCATCGCTCGCCCCGCGCCCGCCCTCCCGGGCGCCCGCCCCACCCACCCCTCCCCCCAAACCCCTCGCAGCTCCCCCCTCGGCACCGCCCACGCCGCCCGCTTCACCCACTCCCTCTCCGT